ACCTTTGAGGCACTTCATGCTGAGCCTTAAAGCGTCTACATAATATTGAGTCACTGCTGTGGGTTTAGGGCTCCTTTACAAAGCACTTTCTTTCTCAGTGATTTACAGTTAGATAATTGAAAATGAGTAGTTTTTGCGGTATTCTATTGAACCTGTGGGACAGGCCTTTGTTAGAGCTGGCTTTTCTTTCTGACTTGATATGTTTGAATATGAGCAATATTAAACTATTTTAAAATAATTGCTTTTGTTTAATGTCATATGTCTTATTATAGGAGCAAATACAGTGAAAATAGAAAACCCCTGGGGCATCTTTCTTATTGTAGAGCCCTCTTTGCAAAAGCAAACTCAGGTAAAGCAATGCAATCCTTTAGCTCCTTTTGTCTACATGTCAGCATACCGTTTGTTTTAATGAGGGACATCAGCTCAAGATGATTTATTTTGCCTGTGTTCACCACCATGAAAAGAGTACTCTATATGGGTGTATTTTGTAAAGGGAGGGGGCACACTGATTTTGGTCAATGTTCATGTTTTTTACTTTGACAAGTGCAGTGTCATAAATATGACAAAACAAAAACGAATTAATCTAATATTTAATGACTTAAGGTTAAATTAATTTACAATATATCTCATTAAAACAAATTTTGTCCGATATTTTATCAAACAGAATGAAATACCGCGCAGTCACCTCTTGATATCCCTATAGGCTATGTCCTAACCAATAATATAAAAGCAAACCACTTGCGTTGTAATGTAGACACTTGTTAAATGCATTGCGACACAATACTTCAGTCATGCGCATTATAGCGCAGGCCGAGCTGCTTGTCGATCTAGTGTCCATGGATGTACTGGAGTCAGTCACGTCTCGCGGGTGGCTGCACTGTACACTTTATTCCCTAAATAATTGCGGCGCGTCGCACTATGACGCACGGCAGCTGACGGACTCGTGCCTTCCTGTGTTACTCTGGGGAATGGATTTGGAAAGTTGCTCCCTGTAGGTGACATAACCTTTCTCGGAAAACCGTGCACGGCAGGAAAAGATGCATGGGAGGCGGTTAGGGTCATAATGAGGATACTGGTGGACGCGTTTCACCAGTAAAGTGGGATTAATGTGAACATCCCACCTACCATTTTCAGATCAGGAGTTTTAAATCAGTGCTCCTGAAGTTGGATGAAAGTGCGCAACCTGCCCACACAAATATGCTTCTGTAGGCTATCCAGCCACATTAATAAGGAATGCGTTCATAATCTGTTCACCTGGCGCCCCACATGACCTGGCAGCTGCAATTCCTTGACAGAGTTCCTGGTTTTGACAAACTGAGCCTTTGCCAGCTGCTCACGCGTTAATTCAACTCATAAGGACACGTCAAGTGCTGGAAGACAAAAACGCACCGCTGTCTTTCCCAAATCCACCTGACATACCTTAAATACGCATTCCCTGCAAACATATATTAATGATTAACAAAATGCTGAATGCCACAATAGCCTACTTTCGTTTTGTGAAGAAACTGTGACATAGGTGTAATTAAACGCTACAAAACACCGGCGTGCTGCTCCTGTGGTGTCTTTCCTTCATCCCAGTTGCCTCTCATTACCCGCTCATCACTTAAAACGTGTGTAAGTACTCTGAGCCGTGAGTCGGCATGTCTGTCATTACAATGTGACCTGAGTCCGCCATATCGTTATGATGGGACTGCACGGCGGCGATATCTTCATACAGCAGCGCGCGCGGGAGGGAGGGGGGGAAGCACACTGCATATCGCTGGAAAGGCACACTTTGACCGTCCGGTATAAAAGTCATACTGAGCTCGAGCCAGCAGCTGCTAAAAAGGTAATGTTTATTTGCATGACTTTAATTTTTTTTAAACTATTTTCGAGACACACTTCACTTACCGATAGCCTACATACATTATGAGGAAAGAGTTAGTCTATCAAAAAAAAAAAAAAAGAGGCTCCGCTGCCGCGCCTGAAAATGATACCAGTAATTTGAGTTTCGTTTGTAATTTTTATATCTATTAGGCCTATCACAAGCTGTAACTTTTAACTTGTGATAGCAATTAATCGCCTTGGTCAAATTAAATAAGAAGACTATTTACTATTTGTATCATAAGGGAAACAGAAACTGGGTTGTGTAGGAGGAAATGCTTTTAAGGGTTATTGATAAGCTTTCAGCCATTTTTTTTCACCAATTGGTTTTCGCATTTTGTGGTAATATTGCTATTATAAACGCTTGTTTGGCCGCATAGCCTATATAATCTTTGATCAGTGAAAGGATTAGGCTATTTGATGTAAGCTCTACATTTCTAGAAACATCCTTGCTGCATGCGGCACCCCTTAATCTCCCCCAAAATAGGCTAAACCTCCGCTGAGGCTGTCGTCGGTGAGCATCTTCAGCTACAGAGCAGACCCTCCACTGTAAAGGTTAAATGCATCTGGGCTTCAACGATAGGTGTATATGTCGGTTTCTCTTCAGTTGACACATAATGGGTCTATATGTCTAAAACGAGTTTCCCTTTGGTGACTGAAAAATATGTTACCTTTTGCGTACAGTATTCTTGACAGAGGTGAACATGGCTGAGGACATTCAGGCAAAACTTGAGAAATATCGCACTGCTCCCTTTGATGCCAGATTCCCCAACGCGAACCAGACCAGGAACTGCTGGTCCAACTACCTGGGTAAGACTGCATGTCAAGGTCAAAGCACTTTTGTCACCTTTCTAAGTGAAAATAACACTACTAATTTAACAACCAATTAACAAGAAGACACTGGGCCATCTACATATTAAAATAGGCTATAAGATATTTATGTAAAATATGCCTTACAGCTCATCTAAGGTCTTTAGATGTGTTGACCCCTGACCTCTGGGCTGGAGATCAGTCCAGTTTGAGATTTCTTGAGGGTCACTGACCTGTCCTTAAAACACTGATCGAGGCCACAGGCTTTTTAAAATATTCACTGTTGTTATTGTTTCTATATTAATAGACTATCACCGCTGCCAGAAAGCTCTGGATGCTAAAGGAGTGGACACCGCCCCATGTGACTGGTACAAAAGGGTCTACAAATCGCTCTGCCCCATATCCTGGGTAAAAATTGTTTTCTGCATCTCAGCTTTTTTTTACGAGAGAGACCACTGTCCAAAAAAAGGCATGTGCAGGTTGAATAGTAATAGCAGGATATACATGGTACTCTCCCCTTTGTGGGCTGAGTTTGTTTAGCAGGGGTCAAACAACTTTATCGTTCCTCACATTCCTGTGAGTCTCTGACCCTTCCTGAGAATCAAAACAACATCAAGCATTTCTGTCCAAAATAAGACTCTGATCCCTTTAAATAATTCTCAGCCCCATTAAAAATCCAGGGAGATGCAGCCTATTTCAAGTTACTTTTAAAGCAAAATCCCAGGGATAAGGCCTTCCACTTTTTTTTTTTTTTTAAATATTGACTGTTGAACATTAGAAATTTATTATCGACTCTCCTTAAACTGACAAACCACTGACAATGACATTTTTCACTAATAGGTTTCTGTCGTTTTCTGAACTTTTATGAATAATCATTAAAAAAAAAAAATACTATCTGTGTCTCAAAATAACTTTCCCCCTGAAATTTTGTCCCTTCAGATCCAGAAATGGGATGACCAGAGAGAAGAGGGGACCTTTCCAGGGAAAATCTAAGATGGCCATCTCCAAAGCTGTTGGACTATAAAGATGTGATCTTTTCAGCTAAATGTTTGTATAAGTGATGCGAGACTGTGTGGCTCCATCACCATCTTTCCACTACTAATGCCCTGTCCTGTATCTGAATGGTCATTCCTTAAACATACTATTAAGATGTACAGCAGACTCCGTATTAAAGTCTCTCAGGATATATTTAAGTAGCCCAGTTGTCGCCTATGTTTCTTTCTCTTAACTATTCATCCCACAGACAGACAGTTTTAATAGATACTTTGTGTTAATTCAGAACAGTGTGGGTTCAAATCTGTCATTCGCCCACATTCACAGAGGTATTATCCGTTGAGCAACTCTTTGTGGCATGGTCATGTTTTCACGCTGGTCAATCCAGACCAGACCTTAAAAAAAAGAACTACAAATGTGAACAAAGCCATTTTAAATTTTATTCATTCAAATAAACCTACATCAAATATACATATTTAGTCAAGATTAGAAAAATAATTAAATATTTCAAAACACTAAATGTCACACATACAATAATAGCCACCACCCTACAGAGCAGGACTGAGATACAGAGTAAGGACTATTGTTGCTGTTGGACGCACTGAAATTAAATACATAAAACTGCATGTCATATACAATTACTCCCATCATGTGGAAGGAGTATGAAATCATTTTTAACTGGACTCAATGACGCAGTAAAGACTCTTTCAAACAAAAGTGTCTAACATTTAAGGATGATAACAGCTACTGCTGAAGAGACTTTCCCATGCAACATGTTAGTACAGTAAATATTGAATGAATGAATAGTACAACACCAACTACCAAGTATTATAGTGAAGGTAGAATCAGATAAATCCCTTTTCTTCTCAATTTGAGGTAAGATTATAGTAATTGCATATTAGAAGTTGCCTGTTACTGAATCTACTCAAAATCTAAACCGGCAAATGTAGATGTTTGTTTTTTTCTATTTCCAATCAAATTACTAAAACTGCTTTACTGGCTCAAGAACGGTTTCCCTCCAAAACAATCTACCTAAATCTATTTACCTTCTATAGCAACTTCAGTAAAGGTCACTTGGATTTGAAGTTTTTTTTCTTCTCTACCTGATGCTGAGTAGAAACAAAATATACTGCACTAATTTTGTGAAGCCAAATATATGCTGAAGATTCAAGTGTGGAGTCTGAAGCTTTATACAGCTTCAGTTTTCATTTTATTCAAGTTGAAATGTACAAAAGCCTGACCACTGTATTTTTTTCAACTACAACTTTATCCCCTTTAGCCATTGATATAAATCTTCCAAAAGGTGAAAACCTCTCTGGAAACACTTTAGGCTTTGAAATATATTAGCCAACAGATATAAATAATTAATAGATATAAATTAGTGTCTGCATAGCATAACTATTGGTTGGTGCACAGGTGGGAGTGTTAGTCAGTTAACGGCTAATACCCATTAGGCGAAGGGCTGATGGTCTAGGCTCATCAGTGGATACAATTAATTAATAATCGTAGCATTGGCCACATCCTGATGTGAGAGTGTATTTATGTGGCCTTAAAAGGGTTTTTTTCTTTTAGTATTTACATGCCACAAGCAGCATTTAAATGTGCAGCACAAAAGTCACAAGTAGCAGCCACAGATATAGTGTTTAGTACTAGGCACAATAATAGGGCTGATAAAATGCAGCCTCACAGGTTTATCCTGGCACTGTGGGAAGGACGACCGGGGAAACCATACAGTACGTGTTCAGGATAACGTGTCTGTGGGGGTACGTTTTCACAGCAAGGGAAAAGGGAGTAATCCAACCATAAAGTGGAATTGTGTGTGCGCGAACCCATTGTTATATTGTATGCAACTCTGTCCTCTTCAGTGTGGACCATGTGAGCCACTGTCAAGCCACCGTTACAAACCAAGGGAGGTTTTTCAGAGGTCACCCACCAAAAAGTGGGCTTAACAAATCTGCCATAGCTTCTCCCTTTCCGTTTTGCTCTCTCTGTGTGAGCACTTAATCCACGTCTGCCATCACCTGTCTGTCAGTACCTCCTTTTTCCGTGTTTCCCACCGTCAGTCATGCAGGTTTTAGGCCGAAGAGCTGCATTTAGGCAGAACAAATATGCTTTTAGTGAAGAATTAGCACATTAAAATTTGCCTAATTGATGAATGCCATACAGTATTTCCCTGACTCACCTGGATCTGCGGTCTGCTTCTTCTTGTTGTGATGGACAATCTGATTCTCATTGGTCATCTTCACATCTTGATCCTCCACATAATTACTGCAACACAGCAGGAAAAAGGAAGGAAGTAAATCTGATGTGTGGAAAACTGGAACAGGGGACATCACAAAATGGAGGACTGACTAATAACAAAGCTTGAAGCCAGCAGGTCCAGGCCTTGAGACCAAAGATGGGGCTAGAGAGGTACTGAAGGGGAGAGAGCAGGGACTGAGGCATCACAAGTCAAGCGTGTGGTAAGGAAAGGTGTGGGATGGGCACTGGAGGAATCTTCAATACAAGGATTGACCACAGGGAGGTGCTGACACAGGGGCTTTCATAGGCTCTGTTACTCACTGTTGGTGGCGTCTGCTGCCACGGGGGCTGAAGTGGAGAAGAGCACATCTCTGTTCAAAACTACTCACCACTTTGGGACAATAGGGTTGAATCTAACCTTCTTTGTCAATCCAACAGTTTCTCTGTTTTAGACTTTGAATTGTATATCAGATGGTCTTGAATTAGCCATGAAACAAAGTAGTCAAATCATATATCTACATCCTAAAAAATCCTGGGTACCTGATGACAGTGTTCCTCTCACGGTGTGCAATGAAGGCATTGTCTGTGAACAGGATGGTGTGGTAGGGCACCACTGGATCACAGGTAGGCAGAATGCCTCGTGCCACATGGCTTACACTGTCCAAGATGCCGTTGTACACCAGGAGGTCATCCACAAGCAGCTGTACACACAGACAGACACACAGATTGCCGCTTGAGGCCCAAATGTAAAAGAAATTTGAAAAATAAGTGATCACCCAGCTCACAGCAGACAGAGAGGACATACCCCAAACTCCTTAACTCCCCTCTGTGGTGTCTTTGAGTAGTTCCACAGTTTGATCATGGACACCGTCACCGGCTGATCAAAGATGACGTACACGCGGTTTACCTACGTGGAAATAATCAATACACAAATGTACTGGAAAACTTCTGAGTGTGTTATCTGAATGCACTGTAGCCACTTATCCTCTCGCCCTCAAATCCTCACCAGTCCAGGGAGCACCGGGGCTAACCACATGTGTCTTCCATCGTGGGTACTGTTGACTCCATCTATTAATTTATCTGGAGTCCTCACATCACCGCTCACGCTGTCCAGTACGTTCACGCTGTCTGGAAAAGCAGCAATGTCTGGTGGACATAATGTTGAGGAACAGACGCATTATTTACACACATAATACTCCTTCAACTGCAATAACAAATTTACTATTCACATTGTCTGAAGTAAAGCCATATTACAGTCACTTTAATATTGGCACTGACATGAATTCAGCTATGTCCGAATTTCTCCAAAATTACTAGTTAGTTACATTGCAACCCCTCATTATAGTATCTTCATTTGATTTGACCAATATGACGACAGAACACAATAATCCTTCATGGTATCAAGGTAGATTTTAATATTTATACCTCTGGATAAGAGTTAAGAGGAGAATATCCATAATTTGTGACATGAAAACTCAATCTTTTTTTATTCTTAACCACGCAATGGTGAAAGATTATGTGGATATATTCTAGCTGGTGAAACGAGTTCAGGTCAAGATCGATGCATAAATGTCGACTTAAACTCATATGAAAGGATACTGTTGTCACTGAGACGGATCTTCTCATGGTTCTGGTCATAAAATTCAAGGCCGTTGAGTCCGATGTAGTATGGGTCACCCCAGGATGTTAACAGCTGCAGCTGAAAGATGACTGACGGGTGAAGGTCAAGGAGCACACATCAGGCCCAGACTGTGTCCAAAGTCACTCCCTAGTTACTATATAGTGCTCAATTTACAACTTCCACCATTCTACCTGAGTGTCTTTATTATTAGTCTACACCGCACCCTCATTACTTTCTGCTAATAATCCAAGGTGCAATGCTCTACACTGTATAAATGCAAATTCTACTTTGCTCACTTTACAATGCAGTGTTAATTAAATAGGGAGCGTCGTGATTTGCAACACAGCCCTTGTCTTAAAAAACACATCAGAACAGATCCTTCATTTGGCATGAACTGATGATGGCTCACAGGGTGCATGAACAGTATATATTCAGGCTGGCTTCCCCAATCCACATTTGGCATTTTTAAACTTAAATAAATAAATGACATTTACACTGTTATTCAGTGGAAAACACTGAACAGTGTCAGAAGGATACATCCGCAAGGCATGACTGGAGCTTCGTAGTCCATGCTGGCCTTTTCTTGTTTCTTAGTGCTTCCTCTGATTTAGAGACGTTAGAAATTAAAAAATGCAATTATCAAACTTTCTCATGAAATAACAGCACATGCTTATAAAATTTCTGGCTCATACTTGGTGTAGTCCTCTACACTCTTTGTGTCCGTGGGCGTCTGGAGAAAGTCTACAAAGAGGATCTCCTGGGCAAAGTCAAAGTGACAGTTGCCCGGTCCTTTCCTGATCAGGAAGCCCTCCAATGGTGAGATGGCAACATCATCCAGGAACACATGGATCACCTTCACCTGAACCAAAGTTGTAGAGACTTGTGTTTTATGTGTTGCTGTGCTGTTGTTGTAGAGCACGGCCTGTTACATGTAAAAACTTGTGGTAATAACTAATCCAAAAACATCAATGATCTCTGGCTCCACCTGAAGCAACTGACACTGTAATGTAATTTATCATATTTAGTGTTTCACAGTTTATGATGTATTATATTATAGTATGTATATGTAGTATTATGTTGATGTATACAATCTACTATTATTATTTAAATGGAACTTGCATTGGTCTACACCTTCATAGCAAATACAGCCTGGTAGAAAAGTGTCTCACCCCTCTATAGGAGTCCTCAGGAGACTTGTTGTAGTTCCAGATACGGAGTCCGGCGATGGTCTGGACCTTGCTGAATGTAATGTTCAAGGTGTGGGGCTCTCCATAGGAGAAAGGGATCAGCCACATGTGCTGATCATCAGTGGTGATGTTGTTGCCATCTATAAGCCTAGGT